TCTTATCACTTTCCAAAGGCCTCACCTCTAAACATTACAGTCAAGGTGAGTTTCCACCCTTTGAATATCACTAGCATAACACCAAGGACTGAACTCTTTGCATGAGTTTTGGGGGCACAGCAGCAAAGCAGGGGGGTAAAATCTAAGTCATAGGATTAAATAAGGAAGGACTGGCCTCACCCATTCTATGCAATCAACATTCAGCTTCTAGGTTACCATATGGTATGGATATATGCCCAGCAATCTCAACAAATTTCTACTTAATAGGGAAAGAGGTGGAATTAACTAACACAAAGCACCTTTTTTTTTTAAGATAGTATCGCATTATGTAATTGAAACTGACCTGGAACTCAGTTGGTAGCCCAGGCTGGTTTGAACTCACAGGTATACTGCTGCCTCAGCCTCCGGAGTGCTGGGATTACAGGCGTGCACCACCACATCCCGCAATACAAAGCACCTTTGATAAGCCCACTATGGAGTTAGACAGCTTTACTTTTCTCATTTTATGCTCATAACAATCCCTGGTATAAGGTAACAAAAACCTCTGACAGATAAGAAAACTGAATTCTACTCAGTAAAGATCATGTAGCTAGTAGGTAGTGGAAGCAGGAAAAGCCTTTCTGATTCCAGGGCCCATGGTCTTTTCACTTCCTTTTTGAGGAAGGAGAGGGTATGGCAGGGTGGAGGGGGATGGGAGGGTAGCATGGGGAACATTTTAAAAGCCATCAAAAAGTACAAAGAATAAAATAAAGGTCCCTCACATTCCAACCACCAGAATTAATCATTGCTAATGTCTGCGGATATTTGCTTCTATTTTCAAGACTGTATTTTTGTCTAATGATACATGCTATCATAAATAATTTAAATGACACAGGAAATCATAAATACAAATGCTAAAAGACTACTCTTAAATTCCACTGCACAGAAAACTATTCCAGTCAACTCTTCATTTATATTTATCTACAGCAAAGGACAGACAGATAAATAGATAAGAAGCATAGTATGGAGGAAAAAAATCACAATTTTTATAACTTATTTAACAGAAGAAAAACAAATCAAGTAAAAGTGAAGGCAATTATATCCTTAATTAAATATTTCTTTATCACTAGAAAGATTTCCTTAAAGCTCCTCTAAAATGAAAATAGTTATAAACAACATTAAAATATTAGGGTGCTTACACCTTATGACAGTCATTTTTTTCATTAAGTTCACTGGTTCTTTTTAGTTATACAGTACAGTTACATTCATCATTGGGATCTTGTACCTTTATATGATGTATCTTGGTTCTTATTTTTTTCTCATAGCCCTGCCCTTCCTTCACCCCTTTCAATTATGATGTTGTGGGGTGGAAAACTGTATAGACATCTACTAAGTCCATTTGTTCAAAAGTTTAGTTAAGTTTTTTTTTCTCATTGAGTTTATTGGTACATTTTAGGTATACAGTACAGTTATTCATCATTGGGATCTTGTACCTTTATATGATGTATCTTGGTTCTTATTTTTTTCTCATAGCCCTGCCCTTCCTTCACCCCTTTCACCCTTCCCTGTTTACAAAAATGAACTATTTTCCAGATCAGGACCACAGCTCCACTCTGCAAGGCTGACATCACCAGCCTCCTCTGATTCCCTTCCACAGTCGTCTTCCCCAAGATCCTCAGGGAAACCTGTGCCCATAAATTCACGTTTGAAAGTGTTGTATAGGCATGAATGAATGCATGCGTGAGAAGTCCTAATTATCTGTGAGCCAATCTTTCAGGAAACTAGAATCAGAAGTAGCTAGCAGACTTCTGAATATTGTATTTTCCAAGTACTCATGAAATAGCAGCCACTTAGCAAATTAAGACACCAACTTTTTCTAGCAATGTATTATAGCTGGTTATTATAGGGTACAACAAAATAAGACTAATAAAATCGAATTAAAGGTGGAAAAGCTGAGCCAAAGAACAAACGAAGATATCCCAAAGGCAAATAAAGGCTACTTGAGTGGCCGGGCTAGCCTTCCCGCAGGCAGGAGCAGCAGGCTAGGCAGAGGAACTAGTAAGGCTCTGACTGCAGGTAGCCTCTGTGGTGAAGCTACTCCCTCAGTCTCTCCATCTGGGAAATGGCAGGAAAAGAAGAAGAAAACATGCATCTGAGTTTCAGGTGTCAGTAAACGGCTGCCAGCTCACTTGTGTGACCTTGGGCAAGTCATTTCTCTTCCCTCAGCCTTGATTTCCTTGTCTATAAACAGGAAGTCGGGTGTACGTTTCTTGGGATTAGCATTAGTAGCATTTTTTGATACGCTGAGGAGAATCCTTGTGATTTTATCTTCATTTTCTACCCTTGGAAGACACCCTCATGCATCTAGCTAAGTAAATTTAGACCCCAGGCAAAGAAGGCCAGCTGTACGAGCTCAGGCAGAAATTCAACTTTCAGGTTACCTGGGCCACACTGGAAAGGTACGTACTGGCCTGTCTCCATGTGGCTGTACACGATGGAGGAAGGAGTGGAAGTAACCAAGACAGGGCACCTTCTGTGAGCCAAGCATGGTGCAGGGCAGCTTCTCTACTGCCTTTCATTTATGCTCCTAACGAGGCCCAAAGTACAACAGTCCGTCAGATGAGAAAATTGAAACTACCCAGCCAGTACTCCTTAGAGTGAGCACTGCAAGCAGAGAATACCTTCCAGATTCAAAAGCCCATGCACATTTTATTTGTATTGGGGGGGCATGGAAGAAATGTTAGAACTACCAAAAGTACAAAGACTAAAATAACACTCCTGTTACAATCACCTAGACGTAATCATTGCTGACACCTGAGGTTATTTTCAAGACGCTATTTTCTTTGTCTAAACTTGATAAGTACTATCACAGAGAATTTAAGGTGGGAACGTTGGTGCACGCCTGGAGTTCCAGAACTCTGGGAGTCTGAAGCAGGAGGATCACAAGTTATACACTAATCTGTACAATTTAGCTACATAGCAACATCCTGTTTTAAAAGAAAAAAATACATAAATAAAAAGGCCTGGGAAGGTAGCTTAAGGAAAAGGCCCTTGGCTCCAGAACTTCTCAAAAAAGGGAGGAAAGGTGACTTAAACACAGCAGAAAAATACACATATAAAATCTTATCCGTCACAGGGCAGAATGAGATGTGTAAAAGACAGGGGTGTTGCGCTGGGACTACAGACAGGTGTTTGGAATCACAGACCGAAGTATTCAGGAGAGCATGCCCTTGCCCCTAACCCCAGCTTCATCCACTCTGCGTGTAGAAAGCTTCAATAGGCCAGACTGTATCCCCTAGGCCGAGGGAAATGAAAAGTGTATGTTACCCTGAATAAAAGTAATGCTAAAGCATATAAAGATGGAAGGAAGATGAATACAGCTCTTATTTCCCCCATTATGACTCCTTTAAAGTTGTTTAGAAATGTTAAATATCAAATCATCCCCCCCTCCCCAAAAGATGTATTTTATTTGCTTTTTTGGTTTGTATCTGTGTGTGTCTGTTTGTATATCTGTATGTTTGTGTAGATCTGCTTGTCCGTATTTATGTATGCCTTTGTGTGTATTTGTGTGTTTATGGGTGGGTGTGGTGGTGATACAAAGACCCTTGTGCAAATCTGCAGAGAGACTAAGGGCTTTGCTGCCTGAGAATCTGCATTTAGCTCATCCAACACTGCAGATGCTGCTGCTTATCTTATGAGTTGATGTGAGAAGCAGGACAATGTACACAGAAGAACTGAGCACAGTCTTTACTTTGTAGCAAGAAGTAAAAGGGCTACCACTTTCTTGGGCTGCCTGTGCGTAGCACATGTGTCTCGTACCACCCACACTCTCTCTCTGGGGCCTCATCTGACACATGTGCGAGGGGAGGGCACAAGGCCTGGGTGCTCAGGCCATTGCTCTCCTCTTCTTTGGTTCTGCCCATCCACAGGCAGCATTTACGCTGTGCCCTCCATGTCGTCCAAGGCAAGATGGGCCATCGAGGGGTGGGAAAGCCTGCCCATTCATGTGTGGCACATTACCAAGCTCACTTAGTTCTTACACTCAAGTTGCGCTTGCAATATTCAGTTTATCGGTAACACAGGTGAAATGTTGATTTTCATCTCCCTGCCTCAGGAGTCCAGGCCTTTAGCCTTTATGCAAATTTTGAGAAACACCCCTACTACCACCACTGCCACCACAGTGACACAGCAAACAGACACTTGGCTTCACTACACAGTGGCACCTTTGTGGGAACAAACTGGCACCACTTTGCCCAATTCAGGGATCTGAGCTTGGTGACAAGACTGAACCTCTGCTTCCTGTCTGGCTGCATTTGTGTCGTCCTCAAATCAGGGGTATAATTTATGGCACTCTACCAAATCCTGACAGTGTTATTTTCCTTTATAATAATTTGAGTTCTAATAAAGCAGTACATCCAGAGGCCGCAAGGTTAAACAGTCCTGTGACTACGGCAAATAGAGAGCAAAACAAACATCACACCACTGAGTCAAATTTTTCTTATGAAACAAAACTTCCAAAAATAATAAAGAAGTAATAATAATAAATTCAATAAGCTCAAATTACAGTCATCCCTTGGTATTCATGAGGGGGAAGAATTGGCTATAGGAACTTCTGCAGATACCAAAACCCACAGATGCTCAAGTCCCTGGTGTAATGTGACGTAGTGTTTTTATATAACCTATGTGCACCCTCCTTATACTTTATATCATCTCTATATACCTTAAAATATCTACTACAGGGCAAGTATTATGTAAACAGTCCTTATATTGGATTATTTATGGAACAACAAGCAATGACTGCAAATATTCAGAATACACGCACTTTCTTTCTATAATGTTCTATCTGTGAAACCAGGAGAGGCAGAATGGACACAGAGAGCCAACCACACCATCATGAGCAGACCGTATTTAAACAGACTCCAAGCGAGTGCAGGTTTGGAGAGCACTGGACATGCCTCATACGTACCAAGAGTTCCATAGTCAAAGGTCCCAGCATCTGGGTTGGGTGGGCATTGACTCACCTCCACAGGTCTCCTGTATTCTCACTACATCACCAATCTGCAGGTTGAGCTGGGGGGCTCCATTTCCTTGGAAGTTGTATATAGCTGTGAAATTGAAGAGAGAGACAGTCAGCTAAGATTTCTTGGTATCTGTTTCTTCTTGATATCCACACCTTGATTCTGTCTCATACCATGAAGCCCACATGTGCTAAACAAAACCAGTACAGAAAATTATTGCCTATGGTAATAATAGCAGTCAGTCCATACCCAACCTGGCTCCTAAAGGGCTCCACTTATTAACTGAACCTGTCCTCTCCCCAACACACATTCTGAACTGCATCCTGAGTCACAAGGGAGCTGTCTGTACCATCTGCTATGGGCTGACCTCTTGCTGTACACCAGGTGTGTGCTGTTTCCACCCTCAAAGCAGCCCATGAGGAAAGAACTGTGATCCCAGATAGGAAAATGAAGACAATGAGAGGTTAAGCAATTTGGCCAGAGTCAGCAGGCTAGGAAGTGCTAGAAAAATTAGCATCCAACTCCTACATTCTCAGCCTCTAAAATGGTATGTTTTCTTCTCCTTAATTCCTCAATCCCAGTGACAATAACCTGAAATACTAGGCTCTTTACTATTCCCTTGCTACACAACCCTCATAGCCTAAGTGAGCCATAACTGTCTCCTACTCACTTCTAACAAACATTTATTTGTTCTTTAGCTGTCACCAAAGCAAATTATTCAGGCCTGAGTCTTATTTCCTCCCTAATACTCTCCCTCATTTCTCCAGCCCACACTGACTACCTGTATTCTAATGGTTAGTAGGGCTCAGATGAATAATTTAACATTGGGGAAAGTATGTTGCACACCCATTTTTCTGTTAGTTCTTAGAGAGTAGCAATTGGCTATAAACACACCCAAAATTGTTTCTGTATTGTCAGAACCTCTACTAATGACTTGGAACACAAGATCATACCATGCCCTCACCAACGTCACATGCACCTACCCTCCACTCCCCCATGACAGCAGCAGTCTTCATGATGATAACACACAACTCTTGTACAAGTTCCTGGGACTGATATCAGCAAAGGGGACCTTGTCCCAAAGAACTGTAGTGCTGCATTCACCTGCATGCAGGATACCTGCAAGAACCGGCCAGTAATTCCCAATCTTACAACTGTTTCAGGGTAGAGAAGCAACTATGCAGTGGACATTGGCCAAAGACATTTAAAGTCAAAGAGATACCTACTTCTACAAAGGGCAAGTAATATAAGAAAGAAGAGATAATAATCCGCCAAAAGTCCTGCAAAGAAAGACTTAAGAGTGAAGTCCTTTAAAGGATAAGGGCTTAGATGAACACTCACATACACCAAGGAATTTAGAAGACCACGTACAAAGTTGGTCACATGCAGAGAAAAGATGTGAGGAAGCACTCAACTCTCACTCTGATTAACCTAAAAGCTCCATGCAAGCAGGAAGCCAGGCTAGGTCAGAGGTGTAAGTGCCTGACTAAGCACTAAGGCATTTCCCAGCACACGCAATGCCGCAATGCAAAGACCAGAGTTTTTCATTTGATTCAAGGCATGTAGAGACTTCGCTGACCACAGACAACAAATTACACACTCTTCACAAAAATATGCAAAAGTCACTAACAAACAACTGTAACCTATCTCTCAAACAATGAGAGTGAGCCCTGGAGAAGTAGAGTATGACTTCCACAGTGAACACATTGTAGTACTTGAAATAGTAGGTTTTCAACTCAAGACTGTGAGGCACATTGAGAGACAAAATATTGTGAACCACTCACAGGGAAAGAGAAATAATAGAAACTGAGCCTGAGGAAGGGTATATACCAGACTTAGGAGTAATTACATAATTATCTTACATATGCTCAAACATCTAAAGGAAACTGTGGACAAAGAACGGAGGACAACAAAAGAACATTTCAGAAAACAGAGAACATCACTAAAGAAATAAAAATTACAAAAAACAATCAAATAGAAACTCTGGAGCTGAAAAGGATGCTAACAAATACAAAGGATTGTTTAAAGATGTTCAACAGCAAATTTGAGCAGGAAGGATAAGTCATCAGTGACTTTAAAGATAGCCCAACTGAGAATGGCCAGACTGAGGGGCCCAAAGGAAGAAGAACAAAAACGAAACTGAACAGAGCCGAGGAGACCTGCAGTAGACTACTACACCAACATTCACACAATGGGAGTTCTGTAAAGACTGCAGAGAAAGAGGCACAAAGGAATTCTTAAGGCAGAGTTGCCAGAAACCCAATTTCAAGGGAAGACATGAATCTGCACATCCAAGAAGCCAAATGAAATGAAGCAGCTGAAACTCAAAGAACCAAGTCATCAAGCACAAAGATGCCTTAACACATCTTTTTAGAAATCATAGAGGCTAGAAGACCATGGGATGATGTATTTGAAGTGCTGAAAGAAGAAAAAACTGTCCACCAAGAATTCTTTCACAAAATTATCTTTTAATAATTTAGGAAACAGCTGGAGATAGAATGTTTGGCAAGCATGCACAAAGTTCTAGGTTCAATCCCTAACACTGAAAAAAAGGAAAAATCAATAGATAAAAACTGAAGGAGTCAATTGTTGATAGACTATTGGAATGACAAATACATGAAATAATAACTACACACCTGTAATAATGGGTATATGATACACTTGATCTTAGCCAAAAGGCTAAGGTATACAATATAAAGATATAATTTGTAACTAACATAAAAGGGGAGATACAGGGCAATACAGAAGCAGAGAGTTTTGCATTCCACTGAAGCTAAACCCAAACTAGACCTTTTTTTTTTTTTTTGGTACCGGGGATCGAACTCCAGTCCATGTGCTTGCAAGGCAGGCGGCGGCACCACTGAGCTAAATCCCCAGCCCTAAACTAGACTTTTATAAATGTAAAATGTTGGGCCAGGGATTTAGCTCAGTGGTTCTGCTGCTTGCCTTGTAAGTGCAAGGACTCAAGTTCAATCTCTGGTACCAATAAATAAATAAATAAACAAATAATTAATTAATAAATAAATAAAATTTAAGATGTTAGTTGAAAAAATTAAATACAAAAGAAGGTAGCAATGGGAGAACTCAAACACAATAAGAACAGCAAAATCGTAAAATATGTAGGAAACAGCCAAAAGAGAGAAGTAAATCATTTACAGTATTTACTTTAAATATAAACAAATTAAAACCTCTGTCAAATGGTAAATGGGTCAGTTAACCTTACTTTTCAATTAGATCAGTCTAGGAGCCACCTGGGAGATTAGTAAAGCACACTTTTGGGGTGTCTAGGTGGACATGGAGCCATGACCCTGGGTTCTGCATACGATCTCCAGTCTCTTCCCCTCTATTGCTCCCTTTCTGCTGTGCCAGAAAGCACCATGAACTAAGCAGTTGTGCTCTAACATGCCTTTGCACTATGTGTTCCTGCCCTGGAGCTCGTCTACCGTGAACTGAATCCCCTCACACTGTGAACAAAAATAAACCCTACCTCTTTTAATTTGCATATGTCAAGTATTTGGCCTCAGTGATAACTAATATAGTAGTGATGGACAGAAAAGATTAAAAAGAAACATATGAGCAAATTACAGCCATACCTTAGTACCTGGCTGCTCTGAGACTTGTTGGATTTGGTACTTGACATATTTTGATAAGAAAATGACCCTGTACTCATCATTTGTTTGGCATTCCACGCATATACTTGCACTGGTCAGTTTTTAGCACAGATTGCCTTATAACTCACTACCCTTACAGCTAAAATAATTAGTTGGGCACGCATTGCTTTTGATACTTGTTGAACCCCTTGGAATCAATTAATGACAAGTACTGAGGTACAACTGTATATATTGTTGCAAAACACTCACTTTAGATTCAAAGACAAAAATAAGGATGGGAAAATATCCTATGCACAAAATAAACACAAAAAGAACTCTGTAAGATATACTAATATTAGACAAACCGGACGTTAAGTCACAAACTGTTACAAGAGACAAGGAAGAATGTCATATATTGGTTACCGGGTCAATACACCAAGGAGAAACAGCATTTATAAGCTTATAGGCATCTGAAGGCAGAGTACTAAGATATATAAAGTAAACATTGATACAATGGGACAAATAGTTCTACAATAGTACTTGGAAATATTGAGAATGTGGCATTAATAGAGCAATAGACATAAAATCAATAAGGAAATAAAAGAAACGAACATTTTCAACAAGTAGATCAAATCAACACATATAGAACATTTCACTGTCCAACAGCAAAACATAATACATTCTTCTCAAGGGAACGTGGCATTTTCCACAAAATAGATTGCATGTTAGGCCACAAAGTAATCTCTGTGAATTAAATATATTCAAATACAAAGCATCTTTTCTCCCATAAAAGTTATAAATCAAGAACAGGAAAGTTAGAAATCAAGTTAAAAATCAAGAACAGGAAAAAAAATTGGAAAACACACAAATACATGTAAATTTGCAAATGTATTCAGACCAATGGCTCAAAGAACTCTCAAAGGAAATAGAGAATATTTGAGATAAATGAAAATAAAAACATAACCTACAACTACTTGTGGATGCAGTGAAATGACTGACCAGAGAGTATTTTATAGCTGTAGATATTTACCTTTAGAAAGAAGAGAGATCTCAAACTAATAATCTAACTCTCCACCTTTTAAGAACTAGACAAAGAAGAGAAAACCAACCCAAAAGAATGTGAGAAATAGGACAGAGAATATAAAAATAATAAAAGACTGAACAAACTTCAATTTGGTTCTTTGAAAATATAAAGAAATCAAATACTTTGAAAATATAAACAAAGTGGTAAACTTTAAGCCAGACTAAAAGGATGGAGGCCTCAAGTTAGCAAATCAGAAGTAAATATTACTACCAACCTTACAGAAATAAAACAATGTTATAAGCAATGCCGTGAACAATGCATGTCATCAAATTTGATAACCTAGAGAAAATGGGCAAAGCCTAGAAACAAACTACCAACATTGAGTCATGAAGAAACACTCTAAGTATAGCAAGTAAGAGTTCAATTTGGTAACCAGAAACTCTCCAAAGAAGATAGCTCAATGCCAATCACTT